AGGAGTGTATTCAGGAGGTATAGGAGATCCAGGAGGTGTGTATCCAGGAGGTACAGGAGATCCAGGAGGAGTGTATTCAGGAGATACAGGAGATCTAGGAGGAGTATATCCAGGAGGTACAGGAGATCAGGAGGAGTGTATTCAGGAGGTACAGGAGATCCAGGAGGAGTGTATCGAGGTACAGGAGATCAGGAGGAGTGTATCAAGGAGGTACAGGAGATCAGGAGGAGTGTATCCGGGAGGTACAGGAGATCCAGGAGGAGTGTATCGAGGTACAGGAGATCAGGAGGAGTGTATCAAGGAGGTTCAGGAGATCAGGAGGAGTGTATCTGGGAGGTACAGGAGATCCAGGAGGAGTGTATCTGGGGGGTACAGGAGATCCAGGAGAAGTGTATCAAGGAGGTACAGGAGATCGGGAGGAGTGTATCCGGGAGGTACAGGAGATCCAGGAAGAGTGTATCCAGGAGGTACAGGAGATCCAGGAGGAGTATATCTAGGAGGTACAGGAGATCCAGGAGGAGTGTATCCAGCAGGTACAGGAGATCCAGGAGGGGTGTATCCAGCCAGTACAGGAGATCCAGGAGAGGTGTATCCAGCAGGTATAGGAGATCCAGGAGGAGTGTATCCGGGAGGTACAGGAGATCCAGGAGGAGTGTATCCGGCAGGTACAGGAGATCCAGGAGGGGTGTATCCAGCCGGTACAGGAGATCCTGGAGGGCTGTATCCAGAAGATATAGGAGATCCAGGAGGAGTGTATCCAGGAGGTACAGGAGATGCAGGAGGAGCATAGTAAGGAGATACGGGAGATCCTGAAGGAGTGTATCAAGGAGGTACAGGAGATCCAGGAGGAGTATATCAAGGAACAGAGAGAAATCACTTATGTCAGATACTGTGGATAAGTAAGATGACTGAGAGTCAGCAAATGGAAAATAAAGTAATCCAGCAGTTGATTAGCTAATGGAAAAATACAAGTTAAGGAGAGGATCATATCAACACATGTTGTTTTAAGACATTTAATTTTAATTTTAAAGCATGCAAAGTCATTTATTTATTTATTTTTTTTACCAACATTTAGATAGAGGTATTAGTTCTACCAATTAAAATTCCACATACTCATTTGAAGACAGCATACCTTTAATGCATCATCCATGATTTCTAGTGTTTGAATGCTTAAACACATTTATGAAGCAAACTAAAGGTAATGTCTGTCCAGAGATTATTAAACTGTTTCTAATTTCATATAGGTGTCCCATTTATGCCTCATTAGGTAACCTTTTTTAGCAATGCCTAAACTGTCTCTAAAGGATTCAGCTTAGTTTTCATGGGAACAGTAACTCATATTTTATCAATTTATGGAATATTTGATTCACTAATTATAGTCATCAGTTCAATGGACATAGAATATTTGGAAACACACACAAGTAACTCAGTATACAATCTGGTCATGAGAACAGCAGAAGTGCATGAGGGTGCTACCCACTGCACTGGAGCCTCAGTCAGAGAAAGTGGAAAGACCATTTCAAAAGCTCATTCCTACTACTCTGTTAACCATTTCTCAAATACTTTATGGTATTTACCATATAAGAATATGTAAAAGCTGTTACAAAAGTAAGCTCATTTATTCTTCATACCAATTCGATGTACATTCCCTCCATTTTATGAAATAAATTGGGATACAGAGGTCAAGGAAATTTACAAGTACCCACAGCTATAGGAGGCTGCTCCTGACCCTGAGGCTCAACCCAAGGTCTATATGATTCTTAGCTACTGTCCTAAGCATACCAACCTTTCCAACTATAACCTGCCTCATCCATGACATTATCTATGAAGGAGAGGAGAATGTAGAGAGCTCAGGGTCAAGGGAGGGTTATAGTTCTCTCATATTTTTTTTTAACTTGGCAGTCTTGCTGATGGGAAAGAGTTAATGTGTTTAAGCGGTCAAATACTAGAAAAAGCCAAAGATACAAGGAGAGAGACAGTTCATACCACGTACTTCCAAAGAAACTGAAGAGATTGGGAGACAAAAGTTTACTCCAGTGTAAGAACGTGCAATGTAATGTTATTTAAGGAAATAAAATAGCAATCCTTTGGGTTTTTAAAAAAATGTTTATATCTGCTTATTTTACATAATAGGTTTGCAATTTTTTTCTGCCCAGATTTTTTTAACTCCTAATTCTTTTATTCTTCTAACAGATGCTCTTAAAATACCCTTAAGGATTTCAGTGGGTGAGATTGAACCAAGCAACTATGGTTCTGATGACTTTGAATGCGAAAACACAATATGTGCTTTAAATATCCGCAAACAGACATCATGGGATGATTTTTCGAAAGCAGTGAGTCAAGCTCTGACAAATCATTTCCAGGCAATCTCTTCTGATGGATGGTGGAGTCTGGAAGACGTGACTTGTAATAACACTACTGATTCCAACATTGGCCTCAGTGCAAGAAGCGTACAATCCATCATGCTAGGTATCAGCAGTCCTACGATGAAGAGAAAGTGAAATTTCGGGGTTTATTTATGTTTGTGGGTTTCATAACATGATTCTTAGTTCATTGATTAAGCACATTCAAAGCTTACTTGTGGCAGCTGCCGGTGCTGAAAAACTTGAGTATTCACAATGTAGCCATTATGTAATGTTGCCTGTTAATATAAAAATGCTTTTATGCCTCAAATAATACTCAAAGAATAAAAAACATGAAAGCCTTTGATGAGGCTTTGTGATTGCGCATGCTATTCTAGATAAATGTAAGAAACTAAACACCCTGCAGCTGCTTGCTTTTGCAAAGTACTAAACACAGCTCAAAATATGTTCTTGAGTTGGGCCAGGAGCACTGTAGTGCATTAGTACCTTACCTCTAGGACAGGTTTTCTGATGAAGTCTAGACTTGAAAGAAGCACTTTAATAAAGATATATTCAATGCTCCCACATGGGATGAATCAGGGTGATAATTGGTGATTTCAATTTGATAGACACCACAAAACAGATTCCAAAGAACTTATAGAAAAAAAGATTTGCTTTCTGCTGGGCATAGTAAGTGCTATGTAAATATGAGTTGTCCCTGGTTAGCTCCTTTCTTCTTGGTCCAGGAGAACTACCATCTATGGGAAGTCTGCTCCTTTGCAAGGACTGTGTTGGGTGCTTTATAAATGGTCCTGTCAGTGGTGTCATTTTACAGATAACTGTGTACAAGATGGCTTGCTCGAGGTCACAGAACCAATGAGCAAAGCAGAAGGATTCAAATCAGATTCTGTCTTGATAGGAAAGCTTGTGCACTTTCAATGGCACCATATTGGAAAAGAATGGCCAAGGTTGAGGGAAAGGTGGGCTTTTTATCATTGCTATTTATCTGTAAGATTATTATATCGGAAAGCAGTTTATTCTGTTTACTCATATATGCTTATCCACTTTCAAAAAAATGTTACTAGTTTTTAGACAAAAGTATTCATGACAACTTGATTTTAAGTAATTTTGTTATGATCCTTGAAATTACTATTATTGGCTGGGCATAGTGGCTTATACCGGTAATCCCAGTGCTTTGGAAGGATGAGGCAGAAGGATCACTTGAGCCCAGGAGTTCAACATACTGAGACCTCATATTTGCAAATCAGTTTTTTTAACTAGCTGGGTGTGGCCTCATGCACTTGTAGTCCCAGCTACTCAGAGGCTAAGGTGGGAAAATCCCTTGATCCCAAGAGTTTGAGGCAGCAGTGAGCTCTGATGGAGCCACTGCACTCCAGCCTGGGACACTAAGTGAGACCCTGTCTCTTAAAAAAAAAAAAAAAAGATTATTATTATCATAGAATAGTTATTATGTACTTAAAATTGCATTAAGAAATTATCCAGCTCTTAGGAACACATTTTGTCCACACATGGAGTATTATTGAAAATGTGGTTCTGCCCCAGGGTCTGATAAACAAAGTCAGCACAACTGTGTTTTGAAGGGAATGGCCCTCCATCAGCCTTCATTCAGCTATACTGACAAAGGCAGATGGATATTCATTGCCAACAGATAAGTTTACCTCTGTGAGCAATGTATGCTAAGGCTTGATTCCTGCAGTGTTCACGCTTGTCTCAAAGTATAGTGCACCCTAGTAGCATTTCACATCCAAAAATCATTGAGTTTTGTGGATAAAGGGCTTAGTTTACTGCCTGGCTGTAACCGCTTCATAATTGGTAATTAGAACATTAGTGTTATTATTGTGTATATGTAAGTGAGTTTGCTGGATTCATAACCTAAGCTACATGAAAGGAACTTCAAGTCAGCAGATAAGCCGAGTTCCAGGTGTGTGTGCATGTATATTGGAGGCAGGCTGAGAATAGATATTTAAGAATTGATCTGTGGAAGGAAGAGATGAAAATAAATACTTATTACCAGTCACTCCCTAGGGAAGATATCTATGAAGTAGAACCCTTTCAGAACCAGAGTGAGCAAAGGGCCCGCAATGGGAGAAGGCTTGCCTTATTCTGAGCACCTGAAATTATATGTTTTTTTTAATTTTTTCCTGGAATCTAAAGCCTTGCTGTAAAGGGCCTCAGGAACCAGCTCATAAATGATCTAATATCTCATCCAAAGTGCTTCTTAGGCTTTGAGAAACAAGCATTCGAAGAACCCTGAAACAGTTTTCGATTATGGTCAGCTTTGTTCTTCAGAGCCCTAGAAATATTTGAGTGGATATATTTGCTTTCTAGATCTCTCTCTTAATCCCTCCTGTGGACTGCTTTGGAGAAGTCTGTAGACTGAACACCTTCCTTTTGACCTTCAGCAAGAATTTCATTAGGGAGCTAACCCCTTTTGTAGCCTTATAGGTATTCCGTATGTGTCTTGGACAGTTTAAGCTCTGCATTCCTTAGGGTTCTCACAGAGGAGAGCATATGTCTACCCTTGTGAGAGAAATCACTCATAAGCTGCCCTTGACATTTTATTTCATTTTTCGGAACTAGGAAATGTGCCATGGTCAGTGGGTCAGAGCTTTGCGCAGTCCCCGTGGGACTTTATGATGAAGAATAAGGCAGAGCACATCACTGTGCTTTTGTCAGGTAAGGATGTCTCTACCTGAGGTGATGTTTAAATTACAGTGTTTGCTTCATGGCTGCCTCATAGCACCAATTCTTAAAGCTTCACGTTTCATCCCGTGTCTTCTAGTCACACACTTGTGACTTCCACCACTAGGTCATTAGATGTTTTTCGAAATGTTTGATTAAGGGGAGGAAAACTCAAAGCTATGTTCTTGACACCCATGGTGATGTCTGTCTGGATCATTGATTCCTGCCATTCTGATTGCATCCCTCATTGAAAATAAACTGGAGGCCAAACTGACATGCTGATAAGAGAGTGACAGAGACTGTGTTAAAAGAAAAATGTCTTTTTTTTTTGTTTTACTGTCAAGTACAGTCTATGCTTAATATGATTATTACAATGGTACAGGCTAATGTTTAGTGAGCACCTACTATGTGCTAGATTCTGTTGTTTATAGCATAAGTATCAAATCATTTAATTCTCATAACAGCCCAATGAGATATGCATTTCTGCTTATCCCCATTTTATATCCAAGGACATTGAGGCTCTGAGAGATTGATATTCTTACCTAAGGTCATGCTACCAGTGTGTGGTATAGGAATACTCAATTTCTCAGCCCTCTTCGATTCTGAACAGCTATGGATTTCATCATGTATTTCCCATACTTGGGAATGGAGTCTTTGAAAATTCAATCTTTACTAATAAAAGTTTATTTTATTACTTGAATTCGACTTACTGAAGATTAAAGAAAAGTGTGAGGCTACCCCAGAACATTGCTTTAGGCCAAAAGAATGTATTAGGAGGATGGCAGAAGTTGGGGGTGGCAGAGTATTGCCAATGGACCTAACACTGGCGAAGGCTAAAGCTTTCTGAGAATTGCAGTGATCTATGATAACTTTTACTTATGAACTGTAAAACATTGAGCACAGCAATACTGGCACAGTGTTGGGGCTGGGATCTGGAGGACCTGGCTATAGTTGCTGGGCGGTGAGTGGGCTTCCCAGGGGGCAGGGGAAGGAGCAGCTGGGAGCTCTTGGGAGGTCAGGATCAGTGGCAGTTTATCAGCCAGCATGAAGTGTGGTCATATTTTCACAACAGAAAGGCACATTGGTGCCTCCTGGCCAAATGTTAGCTCTGCCTACATAAGTCAACAGACACATTTTATCTTTTATGATAGATTCTGTGATGTTTTGATCGTTTATATTTAATAAGGGAGCACCCATTTTTCTTCTGTCTCTCCTTTCCTACAGGTCCTCAAGAAGGCTGCCTCAGTAGTGTGACTTATGCCTCCATGATCCCTCTTCAGATGATGCAGAACTACCTCAGGCTGGTAGGTGGACACTGCTGAGCAGAGGCCTGTGCTTCCCGTCCCTGCCACTGGAAAATTGGGTGGCCCATTTTTATGTTTAGAGGAGGTGTACAGCCCCCACCCACCCTGTGCTCTGACAGCATTACCTTCCCCATCAGCCCACTCCCTGGCAGGCTGCCCGTTACATAGTCTGGATTTCTGTCACTGTCATTGACGTATCTATTGCCTGGATCCAGAGACCACCTGTGACCTGTGAAGTGTTATAATTTGGGCAGGAGGAGGATGTCTTTAACAAAAACTTGATGTCAAGTAAATGATGATCGATATGGAAGAGAATGGCCACAAATATCAAGATGCCTTACTATAAACTTTTATAATTTAAAATTGAGTAAAGATGCTAGCATTAGTGAGAAGGTTAATTTGGCCACTTTAACAGAAACCAAATAATTACAGCTTAAACGGGATAGAAGTTTATTTTTCTCAAATATATAAGTCCCAGCAGGTGAGAGGGCTGGGGAGGGAGAAGTGGCAGGTGACCTCTCCAGGGTCTCGGCACCCTTGCTCCCTGCTCCACTCTTCCCTGGGATGTTGTTTGTGTTGCTTGGTCAAAGGTAGTCACCACTTCCACTCCCACTTCCTAGCTGGAAGGAAAGAGTCTGGAGGGCGAGCCTTTCCTTTCAGGGGAAGTGCACATATCCTTCCTGCCCACATCCCGTTCAGCAGAACTTACACACCTCTCGATGCCTAGCTGGGAAGTGGGGCTTTTGCTGGACAATTGTGCACCCACATAAAACTAGGTGGCCTATTACTAAAAGGAAGAAGAAGAATATGATCATCGAAAGAAAATAGCAAATTATAAATGTAAAGTGGATAAATGTAATGGTCTGCATTCATTAAATACTTATTACATGCCAGGCAGTATGCCAGGTGCTGTTATGACCTATTTTATTTTATTCTTCAGAACATCCCTATGAGATAATTTCATCCATTTTATAGATGGGGAAACTTAATAGAGGTAAAATGCTCAAAGTCATGTCTCTAGTTAGTGATGAAGCCAGAATTGTGCAAGTCTCTGATGTGTATGGGAACCATCTAAAACTAATGCTACTAGTGTAAAACATAAGGAAACAATAGTTTTGCTTGCTGCCTTAATTTAGATGACCTTTTAAAATAAATGAGTTGGAACTATGACACTTTACAAAGGTTGTTTCCACAGACTGTGAACTGATGCCTTTGTTTTCACCTCTTATGAAAAGAAGTATTCAAAACCATTCCATTGCTAGGCTCAAAGTTAGGATTAGCCTTTGTACCAGCAGCCACGGTAGCAGAGAAACATTCAAAGCCTCACAATGTGGAAAAAGTGGATTCTCCTGAATCGGATACTTTTCACTTTGCTTTGCTCTTTGTCCCCCTTTCCCTAAAGCATCAAAGTATGCCTGTGATGGGAAGGAGATCTGTCTCATTACTTGGCTTAAGTGAAAGTGGAAGGGTGCGATCAACTGGTTTTCAGGAACGTTAGCCTCGGGCTTTCAGCAGAATCAGCTGGTAGAACCACTTCCTTCTCTCCCTTTCCGGCTTCTCAGCTTCTCCATACAAGGCAAGGCTCCAACCCAGGACTTGTCCTTAATCCATTAAGAAGATAAAATGCAACTGCAAATTATTGTTGACTAGCAAATCTGTAAAACGAAATGTCTGCTAGTCACATTATATGTAAAATATCCCAAGTACACCTATATATGTGCCTCCTTTTACATGAGACTTAGTTTGACTACCAATGACCAGGAAACCAGAGAACAAACACTGTTGTTAATTCTATTCTGAATTCAGTGAGTGTACATAAAAGCCTTTTTAATCTAACAGTTAACTCTTGAAGGAATGTAATAAAAATGTTTTATTTCAGCAGTCTCTGCAAAATGTAAAGTGACTGAGACAACAATATATCATAATGGTTGTGAATGTTTTCTCTTCCATAAACAATTGTAAGCCCCTTAAGAGCATAGACCATGTGTTAGGCATTTTTGTGTCCTGTTATTTCAGTTGTTTGACAGCTGTTTATTGAGAGCCTCTTAAATGCAGGTAATGTTTTAGAAACTGAGGATAGAGTTATGTATAAGATGCATTCCCTGGCCTCATAGGGTTTACCTTCTAGGGGTAAAGAAGGCAGATTTTTAAAAAATCAAATGATGTATATGTATTGTGATGACCAGCACTAACACATGTTTGTAGAAAAATAAAGCAGTCAAGGAGGTAAAGAGTGGGTGGCAGGGGAGGCAGAAAGCACTATTTTTAGATGGAGTTTTCAGGAAAGATGTTACAGTAGTGACATTTGGAATGAAAAACAAATGAAGTGAAGGGAGTAGCCTTGTGGAGGGTGCTTGAGGTACAGGGAACCACAGATACGAATGTGTTTAGGTTGACAGTGAAGTCTGAGAAATGTTCAGAAACTAGATCATGCAGGAATGTGGCAAAAACTGAATTTTATTCCAGGTGGGTAGGAAGCCACTGGGGGAATTTGAGCCAGAGAGTGGCATAGCTTCCCAGTTCCACAAATAACTACACACATATTGATGTGTGTTGAATTGTTGGAAATCTGTACAGTAGATAAACAAATGTAATAATGGCTGACTCTGTTTACCTTCAACTTTTATGTTACGGGGTACATGTGCAGGATGTGCAGGTTTATTAAATAGGTAAATGTGTGCCATGGTGGTTTGCTACACAGATCATCTCATCAACTAGGTATTAAGCCCAGCATCCATTAGCTGTTCTTCCTGATGCTCTCCTTCCCCCCACACCCAACCCTGACAGGCCCCAGTGTGTGTTGTTCCCCCCCATGTGTCCATGTGTTCTCATCATTCAGCTCACACTTATAAGTGAGAACATGAAGTATTTGGTTTTCTGTTCCTGCATTAGTTTGCAGAGGATTATGGCTTCCAGCTCCATTCGTGTCCCTACAAAGAACATGATCTCATTCCTTTATATGGCGGCAGAGTATTCCATGGTGTGTATATACCACATTTTGTTTATCCAGTCTATCACTGATGGGCATTTAGGTTGAGTCCATGTCTTTGCTATTTTCCGTAGTCCTGCAGCTAACATATATATGCATGTATCTTTATAACAGAATGATTTATATTCCTCTGGGTGAATTCCCAGTAATGAGATTGCTAGGTCAAATGATACTTCCGCCTCTAGAAAGAAATGAGGAATCACCACATTGTTTTCTGCAATGGCTGGACTAATTAACACTCCCACTAACAGTGTAAAAGTGTTCATTTTTCCCCACAACCTTGCAGCACCTGTTGTTTCTGGACTTTTTAATGATCACCATTCTGACTGGCATGAGATGGTATACCATTGTGGTTTTGATGTGCATTTCTCTAATCATCAGTGATGTTGAGCTGTTTTCCATATGTTCCTTGGCCACATGAATGTCTTCTTTTGAGAATTGTCTATTCATGTCCTTTGCCCACTTTTTAATGGTTTTTTTTTTCTTGTAAATTTGTTTAAATTCCTTGTAGACTCTGGATATGTGAGATCGTTGTCAGATGGATAGATTGCAAAAACGTTCTCCCATTCTGTAGATTGTCTGTTCACTCTGATGTTAGTTGCTTCTGAATAGCTAACTTTTATTGAGCATTTATTATATGCCAACCTCTATTCTAAATATATAGATAATCTCATTTAATCTTTCTATGAGATAGACACTCCATACAAGTTACATTTTACAGGTAAATAAACAGACTCAAAGTAATTTACCCAGTGCCTTCAGTGATTAAGTGACGGGACCCCCAGAGTTGAAAGAAGCCTTTCTGCCTATTCATGCATGTAATTATAGTTATACTAGTTATTAGCCTCTTGATTAAGCATCGAAGTACCAGTCATTACTATGTGTGCAAATGTATTGTATAAAATGCATCTGTTAAAACCCTTATGCAGAACACCACATGTAGTAAAGACTTTAAATTAGGATTCTGCTTCTGTTTTTTTTTTTAATGATGTTATTTTTAAATACTTTTATTGTTAAAAATAATACAAGTACATTTTAAATCTCCACTCTTGATTTAATAGGGAAAATATTCAACCTAATTGAGTTTTGAATTGCTAGTAATTTATTGTAATTGTTGAATTTTTTGGCATTAACATAACTCAAACATTTCTCTTAGCCAGTTTGTAATTTTTATTAGGTTATTTGAAAGCTCATGTTTTAATAATTTACTATGAATAATTATTTTATTAGGAAAAATGCTGGAGTTTAATTATCCTGATCTGAGCCCTACTTTAAAATTAAGCCTCTCAATGTCCAGGATGGGATCCTTGAGATTCTTCTACCTGTTTTTCATTCACTCCAATATGTGCCATGCCAGTCACTAAGAATCATCACTAGGAGAATCTAATTATTCTCTATACATTCCCAAAGTAAATTCATTACTTTCCCAGAAAAATAAGGTTGTAGCATGGCACAGTGGCTCACACCTGTAATCTCAGTACTTTGGGAGGCCGAAGTGGGCAGATCATGAGGTCAAGAGATCAAGACCATCCTGGCCAAGATGATGAAACCCCATCTCTATTAAAAATGCAAAACTTAACCGTACATGGTGGTGGGTACCTGTAATCCTAGCTACTCAGGAGGCTGAGGCAGGAAAATTGCTTGAACCCGGCAGGCGGAGGTTGCAGTGAGGCGAGATTGTACCACTGCACTCCAGTCTGGCGACAGAGCAAGACTCTGTCAAAAGAAAAGAGAAAGAGAGAAAGAGAAAGTTGTAAGTGGTGGTTATGTGTGTAAGACATCCCACGGCCCTGTTAGCAGAGAGTCAGCTCTAGCCTGATTTTTCTCAGGAAGGAGCAAGCCTGGGTGAGGTCCTAGTGGAAGTGGGAATCAGCTGGTTGCCTAGTATGAGGAAGAGGTGGCTCTGCCACCAGTGGAACATTTGGCTTCCACGGCAATAATGGAAGAGGATTCTGGGCAGTAAGTTAGTGTCAGCCCAGAAAAGGACTAGAGCAGAAAAACTTCATGGATTCCAGAGACTGGCTGACAAGGGAGAAGTTATGTCCAAGAGTTCCATTTTATGTTTCTGTTTTTAAAATAGCTATAGTACCCAAGTTATTATGTCTATATCAATAAATGGGGGCTTGTCTATATTTGAAGTTAGTAACCCAGTCTGATGTTGGCTTTTAAGTTTCAATAAGCTAATTTAAAAAATAGTGCATGTATGTCTCTATGTATGTAAACTGTAATTTCTCTTAAATTTCTATTATTCTCTTATACCTATTCTTTAAAAGGGACTTCAGCAAGTGACTAAAAGCTCTCTAACATGAAGAATTCCAATTTTTTATATTCCAAATTCTGGACATTCCAATATTGTTTGAGAAATTTTATGTTAATGAATACACTGTAATTGTGCCATTAGTGGCTCTAAAGTTACAAGTAAATTAGTTTTTTAAAATTGGGTGTCAGAAGTGGATGGAATAAAATTTGTAGCTATAAAGCATGTGATTTTAAGCTGTGACCATCCCAATTTTATTGGCTCTATAATGCCCTTTTCACTTTTTTTTTTTTTGGTCAGCACAAGCTGGCCTAGAGCTGTCTCTGGGCAGACACTGTTTTTCCTCAGACTGTGTATGACAACTGAAACTCCAAACAAAACTTGTGATTTACTGCTTTAAAATGCCACACACACAAAATTAAAGTGCCACAACTCTGCAGATACATTACAGGTGCCACATCAACAGTAGTGGAGACCACAGCTCCTCTGGTAAACCCCATTTTGCAGGAAAGCATTGTGGAGGGGAAAATAGAGATGCATGATCCATTGTTGAGGTCGCTGTTTCCATTTAATCCAGAATCTGTTTGCTTCACAAAGCACTAATTGACATGTGCCGAGCTTCCTGAATAGGCGGTGAAGACACTAGAATAAAAGGGATTGGTACCAATTGTGATAATGAGGCCAGTGTCCCTTTACTAATAAGCAGAAATGTCGCACTATAAATGTGCACTTAGGGGATGATTCTGGCAACTACAATTAAGACTGCAATTTTAAAAGTTGTGTTCTTTTTCAAAGAACAGATCTCCTTTCAGTACAATTAGAATCTTTATACCCTTCTTTCCCAAAAAAATCTGCCTATGTATCTATCTTTAGAGCCCTCTGCTGGAAGCACAGAGCATATATATTCATTATATTCAGATCTTGGTATTTGGAGAAATATAACATGATAACTTCAAAACAATATATAATGTCTCAGCAAAGCTTTGCATGGAGTAACAGGTTCCCAGTAATTAAGCTATTTTTGTTGTTGTTCAGAAATTAAATGGTAACCAACAGAACTATATCATTTGATGAGATAACAAAATGCCTTTTAAAAAAAATTGGTAATATCTGAAATGAAGAGAAACCTACTAATGAAATGCATGCATTAAAATGTAGGAATATACATTTGTTTTTCTCTTTACCTGTCTAATTTACTTATTTATGTATATATCTACTTTATCTCGTGAAGGACATTAAACTAGGTAAATGCAAGGCTTACTGCGAATGAATGGCCTTTCCAATGAAATTTTAAATTAAGTGTTTCCTGTATGTATTTCCTAAAAGCCTATAGTCTGAGAACAAATGAAGTTTTGAAACTAAAGATAGCTTCTTTATGAAAGTGGGTCTCTTATCTGTTATTTGATTTCAAAGTCAATCTTAAGAAAGTGTAGGCAGGTTGACAGGATGGCCATAATGTATAGAGCACTCTTATTTTCAGAAGTGAGACAAGATTAAATAGCCACGCTAGTTGAAAATCTCAGGGGTAAATCTTGAAAATCTTTAGCCTGTTTGTTTTCAATAAATCTTAAAAATCGGCGTCCTGTTTCACTGGTATGAAACAATCCATTACTTGTGAAAAGAAAAATTCTACCTAATAAATCATAGCAATTTGGGATTAATTTGGAAAGCTTAAGAGCTCTGGTTTAAAATTGCACCTGGCTAGCAAACTGTGTACCTAATATGCAATTTCCCACTAAAGTACTTTTGAAAATTGACAAAACCTCATAGCAACAGAAAAATAGAACTGAGGTCTCTCTTTGGCAAGAATCTGGAAACATTTTCTACTATTGTTAAGGGTAATAGAGTATTAGGCCCACGTATGTGAGAACTACCTGAAATTAGGTAGGAAATCATTATCACCCTTCCCTTACCATCTTCCTGGTGATTCAAAAAACAAGATTTATACCAGTTAGAAAATTGGGCATTTATCCTTTACTTCATAGTCTCTGCTTTATGTCATAGTGCATATCTGCACTATGATACTCTCCTCCTCTCCCAGGAGGCCCTTCCACATCCATCTGAAGACTACAGCTCCTAGAAATAACTGGACAAGAAGCTGGTGTAGATTAGTGAGACTGTGCTGCATCCCAGGAGGTGGATTCTCCAGAAGCACTCAGCAGGGATGGAGACAGGAGCTGCTGGGCTGCTTCCTGGGACTGTGGTTTATCCTCATGCATTGTCTGCTGTGTTGGACAACAGGAATTCATTCCACTGAAGCCATTGCTAGACCCCAGAGTTTAGTAACTGCAGACACCAAGCTTTCATCCACCCACTGACCCAAGAAGAAGATTCAGCCACACAATTTGTGGACAGCAAGTGAAGCCAGTGGTGGTCCACACATCCTGCTTTCCTGCAAAATTCTTTCTCTGGTTTTATAGTATGTAAACAAATAATAACAAATTAACCTTATACCTATGGAAGAATACTGCAGAATAGTTTTCAGCCTGAGAACTCAGGAAAGAACACACCCTTAAAATTATTTACTAATGTCTTAGTCCATTCAGGCTGCCACGTCAAAATATCATAGACTGGGTGGCTTATAAACAACAGAAATCAATTTCTCACATTTCTAGGGCGTGGTCTCAAACTTCTGACCTCAAGTGATCGGTCCACCTCATTCTCCCAAAGTGCTGGGATTAAAGGCATGAGTCACCATGCCCAGCCCAAAACTTAAGACTTAAAGACCTAGGATAAGGAAAAAGTTACCTCGTCTTTTATGCTAAGAGTTTTTCCTCAAGCCTTTTACTAAAGGTGTGCTAATAATGGAATAATATTCCAACTCAGAGAATATTACTGCAGGCTTCCAGACATATTGTCTCTCAGAGCCTAAAACTCAGTCGCAAGCCCAACATCAAGGAACCCCTTAAAGGACCACTGCCCCGTTAGCTCATGGCCTGATACCTGGTCGTCATGTCTGGCTTGCCTCCACTTTCCGGAAGTGCCCACAAACCTTCCTTAGTCTCCTTAGAGGCCAAATCTCATGTCTTTTCGTTGTTGTTTTTTCCTTGAGACAGTCTCGCTCTATTGCCAGGCTGGAGTGCAATGGCATGATCTTGGCTCACCGCAACCTCCACCTCCCGAGTTCAAGTGATTCTCCTGCCTCAGCCTCCCAAATAGCTGGGATTACAGGCACCCACTATCACACCTGGTTAATTTTTTTTTTTATTTTTAGTGGAGATGAGGTTTTACCATGTTTGCCAGGCTGGTCTCAAACTTCTGACCTCAAGTGATCCGCCCACCTCAGCCTCCCAAAGTGCTGGAATTAAAGGCATGAGTCACCATGCCCAGCCCAAAACTTAAGACTTAAAGACCTAGGATAAGGAAAAAGCTACCTCGTCTTTTATGCTAAGAGTTTTTCCTCAAGCCTTCCTTTTATATCCCACAATCTGTCTCCCTGTAATCATGTACTGGGGTCATATTTACTATCTTCACAGAAGTCCACCCCAGCTACCATAAAGGGTGAGCCTTTCCCTGTGATCACGAAGGGACAACTACAATAGAAAGACAAAACAGAGATATACACACATGTTTTTACATTGTCCTGTTCTAGGTTATAGAGAGAGCAAACCCAAAACTTCTCTAAGTCTGGGTGGCTCAACCTTCACATGTGAGCAGCATCAGCAGTACCAGTTAGGTTGGAGCCTCGCCTGTCCAAGTACTTTCCTGCAAGACCTTGCTGCAAGGCCAGCTTTCCACTAAGGAAGCTTCTCCCAAGCATGCGTGCTGGGCGCGGGCAGGGGTGTCAGCCCTGGGATGACAGAATTGGGAAGCTGACTTTCCTCTCCACATTTTTCTCAAGACTTTTATCACTGCCTTTGCCCTGTGTAGATGATAATTGCCTTTCCATCCAAGGGCCTGTCGAATCTCCATGTTCTCAGGAGAGAGATTCTTATACACAAGGATAGAGGTTAAAAAAAAAAAATCTATAAGCATCCAAGCCAGAGTTTTTCTTTTGACAATGCAAAAGTGATCCATCTCTACCTAGATTTCTTTGAAACACTGAATTCCAAAATGAAATAATATATAAAGTTATCTGAGTTTTATACTTTGCAAAGCATATTTTACCTAAGAAGTCAACACAAAGACATTCTCTTATATACAACAGCTGTAAAAAGATTACACTCATGTACCCATCTTTTAATCATACATACACACACAGCCACAATGGAAATAAAACACTGAAGAACACAAAAATATTTACAGTGACTGTCGGTGCTGACACTCAGTAATTTTTTATTCTGCTTCTTTATGTTTACCAAAATTTCCGTAATGAAATACATTACTGTTTTAACCACTAAAAAGTTAAACACTGAGAAAATTCAACATAAAGAGCATCTGCAAAGGATAATAAAAATTACAGAATTTCTGCAAGAGACAAACAAAATGTACTTGGAACTGTGTTTCTCAGCTAACCTGCTGAACCTCACTGTAGAAAATAGAGGGAAAATTTTGTTTTTTAAATATCAGATCTTGCTAAATACCCTTTGCCCATGTTTCATATTCAAATGAGAGTACACATGTCCAATGAATAAAACTAATCTCTAAAATACTGTTGTTAATCTTTCAGAAGTATGAAGACAAAAGAGAATTCCACACTTGTGTACCACTTTCTTTTTTTTTTTTTTTTTTTTTCCTCTTCTCAACTTAGCACCTTCACCCTAGGTCTCTTCTTGATTTGTTAATAGGTTGAGCAATATCATAATGTCATTTTCCATGGCCCAGAAGGAAGCTTGCAAGACTACATAGTACATCAGCTTGCACTCTGCCTGAAGGTATTGACTACTTGTATACTATCTCCTTTTCTTTGAAAATTGGCAAGCATGTAGAACTAATCACCTTGTTTTCTTATCACAGCACAGACAAATGGCTGCGGGATTCTCCTGTGAAATAGTGAGAGCTGAAGTAGATGCTGGTTTTTCCAAGAAACAGCTACTAGACCTGTTCATCAGTAGCGGTAAGAACATTTTAGCAAATTGGCTGTGATAACCTAAAGGCATGCTTTTCAATGGTGCCATTAAAAGGAAATACGCTGTGTTGTTTGGAAATACACTTAAGATAACTTTAATTATTCAGCAGCTATGGGATAAACACTTGCAAAAATTATCTTCATGTGTATATTATTGCATTTGTTGAGCATCCTGCGTTTTCTTCTTTTTGTTATCTTTTGTTATGAATCATTAATTTTTGCTAGCATACTGTGTTACTGGCACTAGTAGTATACCAAGGGAGGATGTGGTAGGAGCAGTTCACTGTAGCTGAATTAGGTATTGAGTCTTTGATGCTGTTTAGAATTGCTGGAGCATGGTGGTGACAAACAACAGATTGATTTTTTTAGTAAATTTTATTACTCATAAATTCTCTACAACCAATACATCCCTTAGTGCTGCACCTGGGGTCAACAGTCTGCCTGCCTTGGGCCTCCCAAAGTGCTGGGATTACAGACGTAAGCCACCATGCCTAGCTAGCACTTTCTAAGTCAAAAGATGAATAGATAAAGAAAATGTGGTACATATACACAATGGAGTACTATTCAGCCATAGTAAAGAATGAGATCCTGTCATTTACAACACGGATGGAACTGGAGATCATTATGTTAAGTGAAATAAGCCAGGCACAGAAAGACAAACATCACAGGGTCTCAATTGTTTGAGGGATCTAAAAATCAAAACAATTGAACTAATGGAGATAGAAAGCAGAAGGGTGGTTACCAGAGGAAGGGAAGGGTAATGGGGTGTTTTGGGGCAGGTGGGGATGATTAATAGGTACTGAAAAAATAGAATGAATGAGACCTACTGTTTGATAGCACAACCGGGTGACTAGAGTCAGTAATAACTTAATTGCACATTGTTAAATAACTAGAAGAATGTAATTGGATTGTTTGTAACACAAAGGATAAATGCCTGAGGGGATGGATACCCCATTCTCCGTGATGTGATTATTTCACATTGTATGCCTGTATCAGAACACCTCATGTACACATAAATAGATACAACTACTATGTAGCCACAATTTTTATTTTAATTTTTTAAAAAAGAAATTAAATTCAGAGGCAGATTTAAGGAATCACTGAGGATTTCACTGAGAATACCACAAACCTGGAAGCACATCTTGAGGGCAGAAAAATTCCAGTAGAATCTGAGTATCCCTGTACTACACAGGCCAGTCTTGGGCTAGAAACTAGTGAAAGTTAGCTACACAGAAAGCTGTTTTTTCTGATAATGTTACTAATTGTAGCTAACACTTTTTAAGCTCTTACTCTGGTAGGCCCTGTTCTGAACACTACATTTATTAACTCACAACTTTCTGAGGCAGGTACAATCCCATCCCTGATTTATAAGCATGAAAACACTAGTGATGAAAGATTAAGTGTCCCGCCCAGAGGTCCCACAGCAGGAACACAAAACAGAACTCCAACCCCAGCAGTCCGGCTCCTAAGCCTGACCTTCCTCACTACGGGCCTTAAAAACACCCCAGAGCCAAAATATCCTTTTTCCCCCCATTAGTTATCTAACAAAAGTTCCCCACATTTTTTCAACTTTCAGCCTTGCTTCTTCTCAATGTAAGAAGCTGAAGTATTTTGTGCTCACCCTGTGAGGGTAGATAGCCATGACAGACTGAAGTCTCCTCTAAGCTTAGAGAGCTAAGAAGACTGGAATGAGGTCAGGAAGGATGCAAAGGTGACCAACCTAGCATTTTTAGATCTATGATGGGCATCTTCTTAGAAAGAGTTCCTCTTCCTCATTTCCCAGTTTGGAGAGTGGCCCATGTCTCTTGGCTCCCACACTGGAAACTCAGATTTCATTGGCAGGCTTGAAAACCTCAATGCCCCCAAGTAACAACAAGCCACAGGAAGAGGTGAAGCAGGCTGGGCGGGGTTGCAGGTAGAGGGAGGCATGCCCCAATCCCCATGAGGGGCAGTAGCTCTCAGAGCCAGCTGTTTGTTGCTGACAGAACTGTAGGTCCAGTGTCATCAGGTCTTGTGACTTTTAGGAAGAAGCCAGAAATCCACGTTTTTATGTGAAAATTTCGGGGTTTTGTTCCTTCAGTATTACTATTCTAATTTTTAAAGCACTATGAGAACCACATAGAACCCCAGGTTCTCTCATTTGCAGACCCTTACCCCTGTCACACGGTTAGTCTCAATCTGCTTTTAAAAATCCATTTCCATGGGCACCATCTTTAATGCTCCCCTTTCCTGGAACTCCTCCCTTTTATGTCAGTGTTTTTTCTGTCTATTGTTTTTCCTCCCTCAGCATTCCTCATAGGCCAGCAGAACTCGGGTTAAAATCCCTGTGATTTCTGCCCCTCCCATCCTGCAGCTCTCCATTGCCCAATGGACTAGGTTGATGCATTCAAGGCCTTCTATTCTGGGGCCTTATCCACCTGATGTGCCTATCTCGCCCTTTTAAAATAGATACCCATGCTCCAGCAGATTATGACGTTTCCTCCCTACGTATCCTTTGCTTTCCACTCTCCATATCTTCGCTCATGCTGCAGCTTCCACTAGAATTAAGGAGTAAACACGTAAACGCCTCTCATCCCACACACACCATGGCTACCACATGGCAGGTATGATGCCAAGTAGTCTGTTACACACTGGTGATTAAAGTAGACACAGTCTCTGTTCTGGAAACTGTCAAAATACTTGAAGAACACCTCAAATGAAGCTTCTGTGATTCCCTCCTCCTGCTAAACAGCAAGGGACTTGGTTTATACTTCTGGGCACCACCCAACTGTATGTGAAGGCAATTAGGGTATTATTTGGGGTTTTGCCTCGTCCCACACACGTGTTATATGATGAGCTCCGTGAAGGCTAGCATTTTAACTTATTCTTCTCTTAGCCTTGTAGATAGATTGTCAATAATTATTTGTTGAATTAATTGGTGAATTTTCTGATACAAGAAATAGCATAGGCAAAGAAAAAGGGAATTCTTAGCCCAATTCAGGTGTCAGCAAGTAGAATAACTTGCTTAGAGTTGAGGTAGAAAGAAGTAAGATTAGAGAGACAGGAGTTGGTAAGAGAGTCATTGATGACCTGGCACAAAGGTAGAATAATCTGGATTTTAAAAAATGAAGTGTTTAAACAATAGACTAAGGACAAAAAAAGCTTCACTGTAGGTTCAAGAAGGAAGAGTAGGAAATTGTATGTCATCTCCAAATACAGAATAAAAATCCTTCTATAGCCTTCATGTCACGAGTGTGACTTGGTAAGGAGACTGTGAGTGCGTATTATAAATGGATTAAATATTCCTCAGTGTAAGATATGGAATTAGGTTAGTAAGACAGATACATTTTTAAATTGCAAGTGATCATAAGCAGTAAAGCAGAAAAAGAAATTCATACAGAAGAATTTTTATTCTGTATTTGGCTTAGTAATTTACAAGTATCAATATCTTTCTTCACTTTTTTTGGTTTGCTTTTTGAGATGGAGTCTTGCTCTGTCAACAGGCTGGAGTGCAGTGGCACAATTGTGGCTCACTGCAACCTCTGCCTCCTGGGTTCAAGCAATACTCTTGCCTCAGCCTCCCGAGTAGCTGGGACTACAGGCACACGCCACCACGCCCAGCTAATTTTTATATTTTTTTAGGAGAGACGAGATTTCACCATGTTGGCCAGGATGGTCTCTATCTCTTGACCTTGTGATCCACCCACCTCGGCCTCCCAAAGTGCTGAGATTACAGGCATGAGCCACCGTGCCCACCCTCTTCACTTTTTAGTGATAAAACTATGATAGAAATACAAGGTTCATCTGCTAAGACCTTGACTGTGGTTCCCCAAGTTAGCAAGGTGAGCATTATAACTTCCTGTCTGCCTCATTTCCCATGTCTAGGCAGGCCCTAAGCGCTATGGAGTCTGCTTCCTCTATCTCATCTCCTTCTGCTCTCCATTCCCGCATCACCTATCATTTCTTGTTCAAGGGATTCTGGAGGCCTCATCATTAACCCTTCATATTTCCTCTGGTCTCACTCCCTCCAGGGGCCCTCCACAAGGCATTTGGGGGCTCACTGGAGGATACAAAACCATTCAGACTATCCCCTGATGTTACATTCCCAAGGCTGCAGAATGAAAGCTAAAACTCTCAGAATCTATATCAGGAACATTGTGGCCTGGCCTCTCATTCTTCTCTTGCCACGGTTCACCCTCATCTCCTAAAACCCACTCTACCTCCACCACCATCTTCTCAGTAGGACCCATGCTGTGGGCTGGAGGCTGATGAAGACATAGTGGAGAACTAGAATCAGTGAGGGCACCAGAGATTTCAGAGCAGTGCAGGAGAACTCCCGTGAGCCAGAGAGAAGGATCCATCGACAGGCATGGTGTCATCACTTTCACTGTGCAGAAAGCATGCAGCAGGGAATGATCCTTCAGTCGAGAGGCAATATATGAGTCCACAGGGTAGAGAAGGCAGAGATCTGGATGGAGGAAAGTGGTTTTCTAGGCTGTTCCACTCAAGCATCTAGAATAATGAGTATATGGGGATTATCTACTAGCTACTTTCTTTTTTATGAAGAAATTAAAGAAGTCAAATGATAAGTACCACAACTGAAGAGTACATTGATTCCTGAGGTATTCTACATGTATTCCTGATGGTTCACCTTATTTTCTCTAAAGAGAGAGCCTTAACCTGCTTGGATTGAACGGGGGTCAGAATGCTGAGCTTCTGTCTTCCGCTAAGCACAGCACAAATTGCCTTATTTGCTCCTCTCTATGACACTGCAGAATAAAGCCAGTGAACAGCCACAGAGAAAGCGTTAAAGAAGTGTGTGAGCAAAAAGGACAGAAATGAAGAGTCACAATGGTATTTTAAATAATTAGCTTTAAGAATCTAAAACTTAAATAGAGATTAAAATGGTGCCAATGAAGAACAGAGGACTTAAGACCACTTCAAAGAGAATGACACAGCAGTTATTCTAGCATAAGTTACTTTGTGTTTATTTTTAAATGACATTTCCTTCTCATATTCCCTTTCTTGAGAGAGAGTCACGTCATATGACTCTGTTATTTGGTAAGGAGGCTGTGAATGTATATTAGAATCAGGTCAAATTTCTTCTCAGTGTAAAGTATGAAGTTGGGTTAGCAAGACAGATACTTTTTAAAATGACAGGTGACTGTAAACAGTAAAACAGAAATTTAAACACTAGATGGGTATTTTAATACTTTGAATTTTTCAAGGGAACTTTCCTTTGTAAAAGTAATGAGGATGGGATTAATGTGGTAACAATAAGAGACTATGACAATTGGAGTCTCCAGAAATGAGTTTACGTCCTTGGACCCTGCATTCCAGGAGGCTAGTTAAAGGCTTGCCCTGTGCTTCCCGCCTGGACTCTCAGAGCATCGTTCCTGCAGAGCCGTGGTTTACAAACACATGGAAAAGAGGGGCTGTTTTCTATCCTCAAAGGGGAGGTTATAGACTTGGAGTCACCTAAGACACAAAGCAGTTTGGGTGTAGCTATAAATGCGTTAATTATATTTAAACTGATAAGTTTTGCTGCAGAATTTACTCTCTGGGACTTTTAATATAAAGATGTTCAAAACTGGGATGTAGTCCTGAGCCTCACAAAGAGTGTCCAGTTAAAATTACCAACCTGCGGGAAAGGAGCAGGGCTGATGGAACCTATAAAGTTGGAAGAAAAACGTCAAAAAGAGCAGACTGGTTTCAGAAATAGTGTTTTGAAGTAGCACAAAGCAAAGGGAATTCAAATGGTTGACTTTCTGGCCACAGGAAAAAAGGAACCTGCAGCTGTAACATGGGGTGCGTGGCCTTCTTTCACCTCACCGTGAGCCTTGATCAGAGACTGGTTAATCCTTGAAACTGTAATGAGTTTTTGTTCCACCTTGACTAAGGATGTTGAATGTAAGTGGTCAGAAGGAAAAGTAGGTACTAATGAAAAACTGAGGCAATGAAGCAAGCAGATGAAGACAAAGCTTTTCCCCAAAGAAACTCATGCTGTTTGACCCTTGATTGCACCTCACAGGAAGCCAAGATAAAGATGAAGTGGAAACATAACCCAATGGTTATGAATAGCAACCCTTCCACCTTTTTGTCTGGGGCACAAGCTCCATTTCTTTCCTCCTCAGTCCATTGAATGTGAGATGAATTAGGTCATTAGCAATATAGTCCTTGCTTGTGGACCCAGGAGAATGAGCATCCTGCCTCTTTCCAAGAGACCCCAGCATGCCTGAAAACTTATTTATTTTATCTCTAGCCTAGATCCTTCCTCAGCGCCCTCACCCTCATGCCCTACCACCTGCTGGACATCAGAGAAGCAATGCTTCACTCATCAAACACGTCAAGCCTGAAACATAACCCATCAGCACCGCCCCCTCCTCAAGTACATGCTTGGTCGTCTGCTCTCTGCCTCCATTAACTGCACGACCTCTTCTCTGGTGGGAACTTAAGAGTTGTTTCCAGTATTTCCTCTCTGCCCCTCTCTCAATAAGTCAACCACTGAGATTTACTGATTCAGTCTCAAACTGCCTTTTCAGTCTCTGCCTTGGTCCTGAATGAGGCTCCCATCATCTCTTTCCTTATTAACCACAGCATTAAGAGTCTAGGAGGTGTGTTCTCCTATTTCTTTCCTCCTCAGCCAATTCTCTGCACCAGCGAGGATCTCAGAGCAGGAGTCAAATCCTGTTTATCCCCTTACTTAAAGACTTTCACTGATTCCCACAACTGGTAGCTCCCTTCCAACAAGTCGTTCTGGGTCTTCTACTTTTCATTTTGGGCTTGGTCCTGAGGCTTCATATCAGCATGTCTCACCCCTGGTTGCACATTCCAGTCACTGGGGTGCTTTTATGAAATGCCAATGCCCCAGGCCCAGCACGGAGCAATGAAATCAGAATCGCTGAGAATCTCTGTGTATGGATCCAATGTTCATGCAGCCCAGGATGAAGACGCATCCTGCCTTCTGCCACTGCCCACAGCTGTGACTGCTGGATCCCATGCTACTCCTGCGGTTCCACCCCAAGTTCCCAGACCTGCTCCAGCTTTCCATATGGATCAGCTTTGAGCTCACCATCATGCCACTTTTGTAATTATTCTGACCTTGATGTGATGCCCCATTTCCTTCCAGAATTGAGTCCTGCCCAGCCTCCATTCTTCAGCCAGTGCCATTTCTTAAACTTAGTTTAAAATGCTACACACCCCCAGTTAGAATGAGTCACTTCTGGCATGCCATAGCATTCTGCATACAGTACCTGTAGCAAAGAAGCATTGGATAAGCATTTGTTGAAATGCAAGGAAATATTCCTTCCTTCAGATACATTCTGGCTGGCTGCAGCAGCTTCAGAGCCACTTAAACTGGCGATGCACTTAAATCCGGGAAAAACTAGAGACCTTCAGTCCTCAGTTACAGAAAACCAGATATATCAACCATCAATCCTGTGTTTTTTTAAAATCACTGAATTAAAAGGGTTTGTTAGTTTTCCATTGTCATTTTAGCTATGGATTTCTCATATTTCCACAATACATCTGTTTCTGAAATAACATTTGAACCCAAACAAACACACAGAATTTTAGCATTCTTTACTGAATAGCCGTGTTGAAAAGGATCTGACACTCACTAGACACTGGTGTTAACGGCCCTCCACAAGTACAACTAGATTGAGAGGTGGCTGTGCTTGTTTCTAGCCGTCTAGTTTTTAAATTTTCATAGCATTCAGAAAAGCCATTTCTGCCTGAGAGGAGATCCATTTACAATGTTCAAGGAGTTCTTTTGAAAATGAAAATGCATTGTGTCTATAGTAACAAGGAATTGAGAATAGACAATCTTGAGTATTTATAAAAAGTTGACTATTCGGTAATGTTACTCTCAAGTAGTTTAAACTGGTCTCTTTTCAAGGTTAATTTGGCTAAAATGGTGGCATCTTGGAATCTTCAAGAAATAAAGTGTTTTTATTTTTTAATTGATTGGTATATAGGAAGTACCATATATAATACATTTTAACTAAAATATTAATAGTTTTTGCTTAGTAGATGCCAGGGACTGTTTTAAGTGTGTTTTGTGCCCTGACTTATTCATGTCCTATATATAATAATAATTTTTCATTTACTTTCCAACTTTCATTTCGGGTTGACATGAAGTCAGCCCTTCCCATCCTGAGTGGAAGGAATATGAAAATATGACTCAGAAGTCCTGGATTTCACTCCTCCCTTACCATTGTTTCTGAGACTACAGTCAAATTACTTCAACCTCTCCGAGATCTGCAAAATGGAGAGAGGGACCTACTTATCTCTCTGAGGTCCTGTCTACATTTCTTTCTGAGACAGGGTCTTGCTCTGCTGCACAGGCTGCAGTGCAGTGGCACGATCACAGCTCACTGTAGCCTCAACCTCCTGGGCTCAAGTGATCCTCTCATCTCAGTCTCCCAAGTAGCTGGGAATACAGGCACACGCCACTATGTCTGGCAAACTTTTTGTAGAGGCAAAGTTTCACCATGTTCCTGGGCTGGTCTTGAACATCTTGGCTCAAGTGATCGGCCCACCTTGGCCTCCCAAAGTGCTGGGATTACCAGCATGAGCCACACACCTAGCCCTGTCTATATAATTTTATGAACATTTTACATATGCAGAATTTAAAGGTAATTTAAGGGCTTTTAACCTTTTGTATTGTGAAATAGATCTGCTAAAATACATACTACTAATGTTTACAGGTTAATGAATAATTTTAAATAACCATTTAACCACTGACTAGGCCAAGAAATAGAATATTCTCAGCTCCCAGAATGTGACTGTTTGGTCTGTACCCTTTATCACAAACCCTTCCCTTTGGAAATAAGCACTACTTTTATCTTTCATGATAATCATTTCTTAGCGTTTCTTTATAGTTTTACTCCCTGTGTATGAATCCCTAAATCATAGATTTAGTGTTACCTGTTTTCAATTTTACATGATGAAATCACATTTATATAATCTTTCCCGATTTGCTTCTTAATATCTTGTTTGTGAGTCTTCCATGTTGTAAAAGTTGTCATTTTTTCGCTTTCTATTCGTTGTGTGAACATACTCTTATTTATGTATTTATTCATTCTATTGTTGATGGCCACTGGGTTGATTCCATTTGAGACCTGTCGCAGAACAAGACATGTTGCATCATTGTGAATGTATTCAAATATATCAAATAATTCCAAACAGCTTTCCAGTGTTGTTCACTCTCCCAGCAATTTAAGAACTTCTCCTTATACCACATCTTTGCCAATGCTTTATAAATGCAGACTTTTTGATTTTTGCCAATTTGGATAAATTTTTGTCAAAAGCTTGAATCAGTGAATTTCCTTTTTTATTACAGCTTGTCTGATCCCAGTGAAACAATCTCCTGTTAAGAAGAAAATCATCATCGTTTTAGAGAATTTGGAAAAATCTTCATTGTCTGAGTTATTGAGGGACTTTCTGGCACCTCTTGAAAATCGCAGCACTGAAAGTCCCTGCACTTTCCAAAAAGGTAACGCTAATACAGGGAGCATGCTGAGAAGCAAGCTTCCATAATATTCTGATATTTCTGTTTCCCAGAATAGCAGTTATACTTCATGTTCTTTTAGTTATTTGAATTTGAATTTGTCCCATAATATAACTCACTGAGGATGGGCCATTGCTTTTGGTGTGTTTCAGGAAATGGAATGTCTGAGTGTTATTACTTTCATGAGAACTGCTTTCTGATGGGAACCATCGCCAAGGCCCGTCTCCAGGGCTCTGACTTGCTGGTGCAACAGCATTTCCGCTGGGTGCAGCTGCGGTGGGATGGTGAGCCCATGCAAGGACTGCTGCAGAGGTTCTTACGAAGGAAAGTTGTGAATAAGGTAACAAACAGCAACTACAGCCTATTGCCAGGAGAGCAGGGGTTTTAGTTGTCAGGAGAGTTGGACTTGAGTTCCACTACTTACTAAATATGCAGCCTTGACCAAGTAAAATATTTTGATATTGAAGGGCTAAATAACATAACGTGAAACCCATAACAATTTCTGCACTGTGGCTGGGCACAGTGGCACACGCCTATAATCCCAGCACTTTGGGAGGCTAAGGCAGGTGGATCACGAGGTTAAGAGATGGAGACCATCCTGGTCAAGATGGTGAAACCCCTTCTCTACTAAAAATTAAAAAATTATCTGGGGCTGGGCGCAGTGGATCAAGCCTGTAATCCCAGCACTTTGGGAGGCCGAGGCGGGTGGATCACGAGGTCAAGAGATCGAGACCATCCTGGTCAACATGGTGAAACCCCGTCTCTACTAAAAATACAAAAAATTAGCTGGGCATGGTGGTGCGTGCCTGTAATGCCAGCTACTCAGGAGGCTGAGGCAGGAGAATTGCCTGAACCCAGGAGGCGGAGGTTGCGGTGAGCCGAGATCGCGCCATTGCACTCTAGCCTGGGTAACATGAGTGAAACTCCGTCTCAAAAAAAAAAAAAAAAAATTATCTGGGCATGGTGGTGTGTGCCTGCAGTCCCAGCTACTTGGGAGGTTGAGGCAGGAGAATTGCTTGAACCTGGGAGGTGGAGGTTGCAGTGAGTTGAGATTGCACCACTGCACTCCAGCCTGGAGACAGAGCGAGACTCCGTCTCAAAAACGAAAACAACAACAACAAATTTCTGCACTACATTAAGTACAAGAAAAAGCAAATTGGCTTTACTGTTGTTATCAACTGTTCTCAAGGAATCTCACCAAGTTCTAAATGCTGTGGAAGGCTTGATTAGAAAATTAATCACTCTTCTTAAGGAAAAGTTACTGCTTTCTCGGAGCCTTCAAAACATACAGCACTGTGGGCACATTTTAAAACAGGACTGTTACACTATGCTATGGTAAAATTAAAAGGCCACATGAAAAAGTTGAATTCTATATCTTGTGACACATTTTCAAGAGTAATAGTAACTTCTGGTGACTTTCACAAAATAACAAAATAAGTGTTCTGTTATTCTCCCAAATGATAAAAATAATTGAGAGCTGACCAAATCTAACACATCATTATTTAATATTTTAAAATTAGGCCAGTAACTGAGCATCAAGGTAGATTAGAAATAATAGAGCTTGATTTAGTAAGATTTTCTCATTTAATTCTGCACAAGGGGCCGCATTTGGAGAGCCGTCTTGTCCTTGCATTATTGCAGTATTTTAAGCTGCTAATAACAGAACACCCCAACTGCTAGCTGCTTCCCAGAAAGAGGATTTTCTCCGTCATGTAACCAGACGTCTTGTGGTAGGTGTTCAACCTCAGCCCCCAGGTACAGGGGAGTCTGTTGACCTTCCCCTCAAGACTGCAGGGTACCTACTAGGCTGCAGACACCATGCCCTTATGAAAACACATTCACAGGCAGAAAGCAGGCTGCAGCAAAGGATAAAGAGCTTTGGCTTCCTCAGTCTCTTTATCAGGGAGGAAAGCACTTTTCCAGAAACATAAGACTTCTCTTTAATGTTTCATTAACCAAAACTGGTTTCATCTCAGAGCATGGCCAGGCCTGCTTTTGCAAGACTGAAGCTCTCCACCAAGGGCTTCAACAGATTTCTGTGTCTGTTGCGTTAGAGTGTGTGCACGCATGTGCGCTGGGACGGGGGAGATAGGCGGGGGAGAAGTGTTGGGTGAGAATGGCTTTTGGGAATTCATTGAACAGTCCCTGCCACTGGTTGTTAGAATTAATATATGAAATCTCCAATTTAATTAGAGAATTCTGCCTCATGTTGTATTTAAATCAGTGACCTGGCCATAAATATGTTTTTGGCCAAAACCCAGCCACTGTATGATCTCAACAAGAAGGAAGAATGGTGAGGTAAAGACAGTCATAGGTCTTAGCTTTTCAAATTACTGATGCGTGCATTAACTTTATCACTGTCAATATTTAAATCTCATAAGATAATTCACATAAATAAGCAGAAAAGATATCAGTTTTATTATGTAGGATTGATCCTATTTCAGGTAAAAGGTACCTCCCTCCCCCTAGGTCTCTGATAAAAATTAACTTATTTTGAAAGGAAAGTTCCAAGCTTCAGGTTCACTTTCTTTTCCATTATATTTGAGAGTAGGGTGTGCTGCCGAGAATAGAACAGGAAGAAAGGGAAGTGCCTGTCCTTCACCAAGAAGCACTTCAAGTAGGTTAATAAAACATTCCCTGGGGTGTGTGTACAAGGGAATGAATGACTCCTGTGAAACATCAGAAATCTTGTAACGTCACAGAACCTAATCTTTGTGGGTACTTAAAGCACACTGGCAATTGATCACAATTTCTTCTTCCAGTTCCTTGAAGAGACACAAGAAAATCTGACTTTCAGGACAATACTAGGCTTTCTACTAGTATTAAATAAAAAATAATTATACCATTTTTAGTAGAAAATGTTAAACTATCATTAATTGTAAAATACATGATCTGAGAATTGTCATTGAAAACTATGAAAGAATTATATAATGATCGTTACTCTTTTGAAGAGAAGGAAAATTGTAACAGATCCCAAAGCCTCAGATAACATGATATCAATTTAATAGAGCTGCTGGTATCACAGAATCAGCTTTTTTGGGTTTCCTTGGCCAAATTATTTCCTTCATGTAAGATATACCAACATTCCCAATTGTCCCCCGTCTTAATATTATCATTACTTGAAAAAGCAAAGATTTATGTGAATCTTCTTTTTTTTTTTTTTTGAAATGGAGTCTTGCTCTGTTGCCAGGCTGGAGTGCAGTGGAAAGGTCTCAGCTCATTGCAACTTCTGCCTCCCGGGTTCAAGCAATTCTCCTGCCTCAGCCTCTCAAGTAGCTGGAACTACAGGCAGGCGTCACCACACCTGGCTAATTTTGTATTTTTAGTAAAGACCATGTTTCACCATAATGGTGATGGCCAGGGTGGTCTCCATCTCCTGACCTCATGATCCACCACACCCAGCCAGACTCTTCTTTCTTAGAAAATACAAAGTTAGTTTCTATGCCTGACTTTTAATCAAGGGATATTTCTCCTAATAGTAAATAAATATTTATTTTTGTGGGAACCCTCTATACCACCAAAAAAGGGATTTGGTTTTTATAAAAAATAATTATAAAAAGAATTGATTCCTTTAGGTCATGTGTGTTATGTGGTATTATTTAAAATGGGCACATTTTAAATTTTGGAAAAAATGTCTTTATGCTGAAAGAGCTCTGTACATTTTGGTGACATTAGCATTTTAGCTGAGACCTTACTTTTAGAAAAATAAAATTATTTTTCGTTACCATTAATACCAGGTGAACATACTAAAATTCAGGTACAACATCTTATCACTTACCCAGAATATGAAATATTTAATGTCATTAAGTCAAAAAACTTTTGAACATTTATTTGTAAGACCTAGTGAGGTACTATATATACATACATGTAAATAATGTTCTTTCCAGAATTCATGTTTAAAAATTCATCCAGGTTTCACCTTTGTCTACGTACCCCTTTATTTTGTGTTAGTTTCATGTAATCGGCTACAGATCTGTATAACGCAGTGCATCTGACACTGCCCACATAACAAACTCAACACGTCCTGTCCCTGGACCTAACTGGGCTTTCCCCCAGTCCCCGACTTCCTTTTTTGTTATCAGTCATCCAGACTTAGAACTACTCAGCCTGTTCTTGTCGTTGGTCAATCACACCATTTTATAAGTCCTCACTTTGTGGCACACTAAGGAAAATGCAGTACTAAGGTTGAAAGGATGTCTAGCCGTGGAAACTGATCATCAAAACACAGTGTGATACATGCATCAGAACAGTGGTAGCTGGTTATTCTGTAAATATTTGTCCCAGCCTGGGGACTGTTGGACGAGATGGGGGTCCTCCCCACCCTCAGAGAGCTAGTGTTCTCATGGAAAGACAGGCCTCAAAAAAGAAACTATCTTTGTGGAAATTGGGACTTAGAGGACAGTTTTTATTCAGGAGATATTATTCAAGTGCTATTTAAAAAAATGTATTCAGTATATTATAGTTGTACATCCAAATACCCGGCTTTCCCTCAAGCTTTTAAGTTAATTGTATAAGCTTTATCTTTCTATGTATAAATTGAGCAAAATTTAACAATCATCTTTGAAGGGACTCATAACTTAATTACATTTCTTTACATAGATTGGTCTTTAAAACTTTAATACATTTTATTTCTCTTTTTAAGAACTTCTGCTGTCTGACAAATCTTCCCAAGTACTTAATTCTTAGAAAACCAGAAAATTAGTAAATCCAGTGGCTCAAATGTTCTCTTAATTCTTGTACCATTTACATACACTTAATAAAATTCTCTTACCCCTTCTTTCTTAAAATCACAACCCTAAATCAATAACTGTTACCATTTTAAACTAGACATGAAGTTTTTCTAATATATGAAATTCCTGTAAACATTTCAAGTATTTAAAAAGACCCAATATATGATTCTCTCATCCTAACCCAAAAAATAATGTTTGATTATATTTAATTCTGAATATTAATGAAGATAAAAATATACTCCATACCCCCATACCTCACCCCCCATTTTTTGCCATCTCAAGAAACCTGGGTTCTTTTTCAATGAAAATTTAGGGTTATTTTCTTGGCTGGCCAAGTCTGTGTGTCGACCAGGCTTGTTGAGGACTTACGATCTGACCTTAGACTTTTCTCAATAACAGGAGAAAAAAAACAGTAGAGTCTCACTAATAGTCACTGTATACAAGGGTCTAAGTCCATGCCTTCCAAGTAGGGTAGATTCAGTTTACACATTACCCAATCCTCAGCTTCAATTTGAATCTGTAACCCTTATCCATGCTATTTCAGCATTGGACTGGATTCAACTATTGAAGCCTTGTCTCTTCCTGAGTGGCAGGGCCACAAGTCTGATAAATGACATCAGATTAAACTCTGTGTTCCCACATCTGATTCTGTTTGACTTTATGGGTACAACACTAAAATCATGCTAATTTAACAGGTGGCTAATACGTGCTGTGAAAGAAATAGGTAACATACCACTATAGAAATTCTGGCAGAAGTGGGGAGGAGTACTTATTTTAGGAATGGGGGGTGGAGGCCTCTCTGTGGTCACATTAAAGGATTTGTAGGTTACTCTAATTTGTTATCTAAAGGAAGAAGAGTTTGCTGAGAATAGGGAGGCAGGGGGTGTAGGCAGAAGGAGCAGCACTTGGAACACATCTCAGGCATAGGGAAGAGGAGGTTGGTGTGTGGGAAAACTCAAGGACAACTGCATGGTTGTATAGTCATTCAGGGGACATGCGAGGTGGCGGATCAGGTCCAGCACCTTGAATCAATAACAGTGACATAGATTGTTTACTTGTAGAAGCCTGCCGTTTATTCATCCCTTTTGTTATTTGCAAACATCAGCATCCATTTTGACCGCTCCTCCACAGTTTCTTCCCTCTTCTATATTTGGGACACGCTTTCCGCCTCCCCTCACCAATCATGTGTCCTGGACATCCTGTGAGAGACCCCGGCTGAAGTCCCACCTCATCTATTTGCCTTTCCTGATCATGCTGTATTTAGTCAGTTGTTCTTTCGAATTGCCGTAGCAGCTCGTGTCAGTCTGTACTTCAAGACTGCCGGTCTGGAAGGTGTCTGAAGGATAAAGGGCCTGGCCCAGTTTCCTCATTTTTCCAGTTGGTAAAATTCAAAAGAAAAATAATGGAAGGCAATTGCAGTACCTGGTGGGTGGCTGCCTTAGCTCCATCAAAATGCACCAGGACTGATTATTTGCTCTTCATTAGCTTTTCACATCTTTTCTTTTGTTTCCTCTGTATTTCATGAGTACACTAACTTATTTTCCTTCTTAGCAGCAGTAACAAATAGGCATAGAATACATAGTAGGCTTACACACCTCTAGGCAAAATTATCCATTAACACTGAAGGAAGATATCTCTAGGGAAGGAAATAAAAACATGTAGTTACTGGAAAGTCTATTTATCGGCTAGTTCCTTTAATGAAACACCAGTTTTTAATGTACTCTCCAATAATGACCACTTTTCCCGTAATACAGCCACCTTGCAAAATGAGAAATTTTATATAAACAACATCCGTCCTTTGGCGAGAAGGGGTACCCACCTGTTTGTTCAGGTCCTTAGGAAAGGCAGATTACAATCTGCCTTTAGGAACTGTGAAATGTAATTCTGTTACAATGTCTAACAGTCTGATCTTTAGAAGGAGTTTATTAGACAGTCATTAAGAGAATAATTCAATCTTCCCAGAAAAAAGTCATGTTTTCCTGGGGACCAGTTATAATGAGAGCTCTGCCCTCCTCCCTTCCTGCACATGTGGTCTTGACGAGGCAGCTGGAGAGACTCCTCTTCCTCTATCAGCTGCCCACAAAGCTAAGCCTGTTCTTTCAGCCCTGGCTGACCAAGGAAGTGAAGCTTAAACAGAGAGCTTCAGAAATGGTAAGCCTGAGGATGAAGAGGAAGTTCTTTAGCTTAATAGTGATTACTGAATTCATTTTAAATGTGATAAATGACTCCTTTATTATTTCAGCTATATGCTATATCCTATTTCTCTTTTAAAGATAAGCCCTATATGGTTAATATATACTTGCAGATTGCTGAGAGTAGATCGTTCTCACCATAAAAAATAAGTATGTGAAGGGATGGATATATTAATTAGCCTAATTTTATAATTTCACAGTATATACATACATCAAAACATCATGATATACACCACAAATATGTATAATTTTTGTCAATTATACCTTAATAGAAAATATAAATAGACTGTAGCCCTGGCTTTGTCACTTTTAGCTGTGGGACTTTGGGCAAGTTGTTTTTTCTTCCTGGCTCAGAGTCTGATACACAAAATGGGGTAAAAATGCCTAACTCAGGCTCCTAGTGAGAGTTAAAGGAGAAAAAATGCTGATCACACTAACACATTTGCACAACCAGTAGTATGTGTTATTATCCCTTCCTCAGCTAACCCAAGTAAAGTTAAATAAGATTCAGCTAGTTTTCAGTTTTGATTTAAAGTATTATATTTTTAATTTTGGGCTTCTAAAGACAAAATGTTCTAAACCAAGCGCCTGTGTTCCACCTCCCTGCCTCTCTAGTTCAGAGGTCAGATGCCTCCACCCTGCGATCCTGTGTGCAAGATTGTCGACTGGGCTCTGTCTGTCTGGCGTCAGCTTAACTCCTGCCTGGCCCGCTTGGGCACACCTGAAGCACTTCTTGGACCAAAGTATTTCCTGTCTTGTCCTGTAGTCCCTGGACATGCCCAAGTGACAGTGAAGTAAGTGTCATTTTTCCTTGTTTTCCTCCTTATGATAGAGACATGGCCAATTCAGGATGTTTGAGAGTGAGAATACTGTCCAAGCTGCCTTGTGCCACCTCCTGTCGTTGACATGGAGTGCCAGTGATCTCTGCTCTTTCAGAGGAGGGCCACAGCTTGTCTACTGCGTGCTTCCTAAGGCAGCTGCATTTTTGCTAAGAGCTAGGTGGCAGTCTTTCCGCCATTAGAAAACTCTCATCCAAGTCATGTTCAGCTTGCTATGCAGAGTCTCCTGAGTGAGGTCCCACATAAGAAGTTTCATCAGTTATTGTATGCACACCCTCCAAAAACCTGTCTTCTTTTAATGAATTGAAAAGCCTCTCCCTTTATTGAGACATATATTCAGTACTTACCATGCTTTCCTTTGAAGCAGCTTATGAGAACAGACATATGTACAATAAGGTTAATGAAATAGAAAATCAAGAGAAAAATGAAAGGCGAAAAAATTGGCACCATCCAGCTTAATAATGCTTCTGTGACCAGCAATCACATTTGATAATGCAGTTTCTGGTGTCATGGGCAGAAGTCTATTTTGGAAAGCAGGAGATAGAAATAATATCTTCTCAGCTGGGTATCACTTTGGGAAGTTGTGAGGGGACGATCACCTGGGGCCAGGAGTTAAAGATCAGCCCAGGCAACTTAGTGAGACCCCAGCTCTATTAAAAAACAAAAAAAGGGGGCCAGGCATAGTGGCATGTACTACCTGTAGTCCTAGCTACTTGAGTGGGGAAGCTAACGCAGCAGGATCAGTTGAGCCCAGGAGGTCAAGGCTGCAGTGAGCTTTGATTAAGCCACTGAACTCCAGCCTGGGTGACACAGCAAGTCCCTGTCTCTATAAAATATATGTATATCTTCTTTATTGTAAGACAAACCACCATTTTTATAACAACTAATTGGCGGGAAAAGAAGAAGTCCCATATTAAATATATGTTTAGAATTTTGCTACAAAATAAATACAGTTGTTGATATAATTACCACTTTCTTCATTATTCTCTCAATTAAATTAAAGTATTTTTTATATCCAGAGTCTCAGGATTCTTAGGAACCAATCTTGACCTCTCCTATATGGAGTATAGTCTTTGTCAAGAACTGCGGAGCTTCCAAGATTTTTACCTTATTTGCAAGCTACCAAGTTAGCTTGCCATAGTTCAGGATGCTAAGTTAGGGACACAGGACTTCATCACCCACAGCACAGCAGGCAGCCTGAGCTTCACTTTTATGTAGGTTCCCTTTACCCCTGAAGTCCCACAGGGTGATACATAATAGCCCATGTGGATGCTGGATTTTGCCTCACAGCGGTGGAGACCCCCTTCCCATCCCTCCAAGGCTTCTGAGGGATGCTGCAACTCTGTTCATCCTTGGCCCTGGAAGAAGACGTTATTTTATTATCCTGATCAGGAAACAATTCTGCCCTCTGCTCTTGAAGGAAACATTTATCTCTGTCTTCCAAGACTGAAAAGATGGTCCAAAACAAAACCTGACACCAGATGTGCAGAAATGCCGCAGGGACTTGTCTACCAATGGCTAAGTTAAGGAATTGATTTTTTTTCAAACCACAGCTTATCATATTTATACCTTTAGCACTTTTAGGAATTTTGATTCATGCTATAGAATACCAGAATTTTGTCTGTGTTCCCTATCATACATTTATTTTTCCCCTAATTACACAGCACTAGATATTAAGAGAGAAACTTAAAACAGATGGATGCTTAATACCTGGGTCATAGTGTTTGACAATTCTTGAAAGTTATATGCAATGTCCAATAGCTTTGAGAACATTCCTAACCTGGGTGATGTGGTTTTGTTTCTATAGCCTTTAATCATGTAACTGTTTTTAAACACTGCAACAAAGCGTAATCTTTTTTTTTTGAAAGAATTTTAATTGGCATTGAGTGCTGTAAATTTGGGCTGAAGTCCCACTGCTTATGGCTATTCATGCAAACAGTCCACCTGAGGCCATAGCTGTTTGATCCCCATCTCTCTATAGAACTGAATCCACCCAGGTGCAACAGTGATCCCTTGCCTTAGGACAGGTAGATTTAATTTGCCAGTGATTGTTAAGTGGTATCCCAGGCTGGGTGTAGTGGTTTACGCCTGTTAATCCCAGCACTTTGGGAAGCCAAGGAGGGCAGATCACTTGAGGTCAAGAGTTCGAGACCAGCCTGGCCGACATGGTGAAACTCCATCTCTACTAAAAGTACAAAAATTAGCCAGGGATGTTGGCACACACCTGTAATCCCACCGACTTGGAAGGCTGAGGCACAAGAATCTCTTGAACCCAAAAGGCAGACGTTGCAATAAGCAGAGATTATACCTCAGCACTCCAGCCTGGATGACAGAGCGAGACTCTGTTTCAAAAAAAAGTATCCCAATTTCAGAAATATTAAAATACGATATATGTGTACCTTATTAAGGAGATGTAACAAAGAAATTGAAGCTATTTAGACATGGACTGTTAGGACATCTTTCTTCCAGATTTCTTCAGTCTTTAAATTTACCTGTTTTTCCACATATTGGTTCATGCATTCATTCACTCAGCACTCGAGCATTGATTCTACACTGAGAGATACATGTAAACAATCAGTTTCATTTGAAATACATTGTATTTTTGAGGCAGATTTACTTTTGTATTGGATAATTTCACTTCGTTGAAAACTACCTGGGAAAGGTAGCATATGTATAGAAACACTTAACGTTTTTTCCCCATAGTCTTCAAACTGTCCTTTCATAGAATTGTGTATAATTATCAAGAAGCCTGCTCCTAAGGAATGAATTGGCCCCTGTCTTGCTAGATGGATGTCTAAGCTGTGGAATGGCGTCATCACACCCAGAGTTCAAGAAGCAATATTGTCAAGAGCTTCTGTGAAAAGACAACCTGGCTTTGGGCAGACAACTGCTAAAAGACACCCTAGCCAAGGACAGCAGGCTGTGGTCAAAGCTGCTCTCAGCATCTTGCTGAACAAAGCTGTACTGCATGGCTGTCCCCTCCCTAGAGCAGGTATGTGGGTTTCTGCAGAGAGGAGAGGAAATTCACACCCTTATAAAATATCTTTTAAAAGTTATTTTTAGAGAGCTGGCTATCTTCTCTTTGTAATTAGAAAAATATACATTTTACAGCAGTGTTCCAAAACTGTGAATTTAATTACTGGTTAATGCTTGAATTCTAGACCTCTAAGTAAAGTTTGTGCTGGTTCACAAAGCCCCAGCTTAGATATTAAACAAGTGCATGATTTTGAAGAGTTCGTATCTTTGAGAAATGGAAATGTATTTTGCTTTAGTCAATGAAACTGCATTATCCCTGCTGTGATTCGTGTTGTTTCAGAGCTAGAACAGCATAGAGCTGATTTCAAAGGAGGAAGTTTCCCTTTATCCATAGTTTCCAGTTATAACAGTTGTAGCAAGAAGAAAGGAGAGAGTGGTGCCTGGAGAAAGGTGAACACCAGTCCTCGCAGGAAGTCCGGCCGCTTCTCTTTACCCACCTGGAATAAGCCAGACCTAAGCACTGAAGGTAAGAGGCTGGGGTTAGTGTGCTGCCTGCGAGATGGACATTCTCAGTCCAGTGTCTGAAAGCAAACCTGCTTTCATTGTTATCCACTCTGCATTTGGCAAAACGAAGTTTAAGTATTTCAATGCACATTTTCTTAGAATAAACTATATAGAAGGTACATTTTCAAAAATATATGGGAGATCTCTACCTGAAAAATACCACTTTTAAACTAGAATTCCAAAATTAATCTTTACCTTGTTAATGGTCACTTATTAATTTGTTTTTCTTGCTGTTCATAATTTGCATAATAAATCATTGCATTATTGTATAATAAAATCATTGGCATATTTCTCTCCTATTATGTCACTCCTAAGTTAATCTTACATTAAAAAATATATGTAGAGACATATTTAATACCCACTTTAAGGCCTTTCCAGGTGAATCAGGTGTACACATTTCTTTCTCATGTATGATGTGTACCATGTGCCAGGTTCTATTCTAGGCACTGGAAACAGAGCGGTAAAATATATATATATATATTCATTCCTGGCCAGGCATGGCGGCTCACACCTGTAATCCCAGAACTTTGAGAAACTGAGGCAGGTGGATAACTTGAGGTCAGAGGGTAAAACCCTGTCTCTACAAAAAATACAAAAATTACCTGGGCATGGTGCTGCATGCCTGTAATCCCAGGTACTTGGGAGGCTGAGACATGAGAATCGCTTGAACCTGCGAGACAGAGGTTGCAGTGAGCCGAGATCACGCCACTGCACTCCAAGCTAGGTGACATAGCAAGACGCTTGGCTGAAAAAAAAAAAAAAAATTCCTGCCTTCATAGAGTTTATATTCTAATAAACTGAACAGATTTCATATGATGGGACATCATGTGAAAAATAAATATGTAAGCTTTCATTCTAACAAAGAAGATATAACACATCTGTATCTTCCTGTGTTAGACCTATTCCCTTTGGCATTGATAATAGGATAATCAGCTATTATATAAATTATAAATGTCCTTCCCAAAAGAAATCCAAATTGGAATAAAAATGAAAAAAAATTCCACCTGTTATGCACTGTGGACTTCAGATTATATAATTCATGTGCCTCCCTTCCCAAAGTATTTGTTTTGTGGAATTTTATGCCAACTTTATAGCAGTTGTTTTCTAAATTAGATGCTTAAAATCTTATATGTTTAAAACATAAAAAAGTTGTTTTTA